GAATGCGGTAGGTGATCATAAGCAATAGCCTCTTGCAGCTGCCTGGATAGAAATGCCATGGCTGTGGTTGGTCGAAGTTGGGTGGAGCCAGAATCAAAGCTGGGGGAGGGGCTAATGCACCATGCCCCCTCCCCCCTCCACCCCTAGTCTTTGACCCCAAGCACGGAGTCCCCTTCCATGTGTCAGGCCCCCTAACACACCGAAGCCAGAGAAGAGAGCTCATGGTCATGAGGCCAAGCTGGCCAGTGGGGTCAGGGATGTTTGCCCATGGGAAAGAAATTGTCTCCCAGAAAAAATATTGGGGAACCTTGACCCTTCTACACTAATCCCCTAGACCCCAGAGCAGGGAAGAACCTAGGTGTCCAGGCTCCCAGCCCCCACCTGCCCTAAGCAATCCCCCCCCCGTACCCTCCCCTAGCTGGAGAGAACCCAGGTATCTTGGCTCCTAGCTCCCACCTACTCCAAGTCATCCCCCCAGCCTCCTCCCACAGCTGGAGAGCACCCAGGCGTCTGGGCTCCCAGCCCCTGTTGCTCACCCCCCAGCAACCCAGTCCCATCCCATAGCTGGAGAGAACCCAGCTATCCAGTTCTCAGATCCCAGATCTCAGTTCCTGGGAGCAGAATTGCACAACGACCCAGGTGTCCAGGCTCCCAGCCCCTGCTCCAACTCCAAACACATCATAGACACATGGTGCTGGGAGGTGAGCGGGGCGTGCCGTGTGCACAAGGCGTGTGTGCTCCAACACTGCCCCATCCCTTCCACACAGGACACGAGCTCCCACTCAAAAGGGCTTTATTAGCATCAAGAGGCCTCCCGTGGAGTAGGGAGGCCCAGACGCCTGGGTTCCTCTACTGGGAGAGCGAGGGCAGAGCTGCAGCGAAGGGGGCTCCAAAGAGCTGGTGGGACAGGGGAGAGGCCAACATAGGGGGGCAGACTTGGGGGGCAGAAGGGGCCGCTGGGAGTGGAATTCACACAGGCTCCATCTGCAGCTCTTCGCCCTCGGCCGGCTCGGTCTCATAGAAGGCGGCGTGAGAGCCAATGACCACCAGGGTCGCGCCTGTGGGGAGTCAGGGACAGGCACGGGGGGGGGGGCCGGAAGTGCCCCACCCCCCCCCCCGGCGGGGGGCCCCC